TGCCATAGGTGTGGATGGGGGTGCCATTTGCTGCTTCCATGGGAGGCCCGTGTCCGCTGGCCAGGGCGTCGACCTTCGATGTGGGCAGAACGCTGCTTTGTGCACCCGTGTCGCACAGGAAACATCGTCCAGAAAGTTCGTCCCGGATGAACAGCAGCCTGCCTGCACGGCCGACGCTCATGGCCGCAGCTGAGCGCCGGCCGTGGCGCTTCCCGTCCCCCGGAAGGCACATGGAAAACGGCACCGCTTAGCTTTGGGTCCAAATTTGGCATGGTAAAAACATAACCCAGGGTCTCGGTGCCTTGCGGTTACCGCCGCTGCAACAGTGATGTCGGCCACTGGTGGCGCAAGCGGTGGAGCCGGAAGGAACGAAGCCATGAAGTGCTGTTGACCAGCGAGGAAGAACTTATCAGCCTCTGCAGCCAGCGCACGGCACGCAGTAATGAAGGTGTTTGCTAAAGCCGCTCGCACCGGAGCCGGTAGCTGACGTAAAAACAATTGAACGAAAAGAAAATCCAGTTTGTGCTCACCCATGAGATTAAGCATTTTATCCATTAGCTCAGACGTCTTGCCATCGCCTAAGCCCTGAAGTGAAAAAAGCCGGCTGGCTCTCTCTGCGTCGGAAAGTTCATAAGTGTCCAGCAGGTGGGCTTTAAATGCAGTGTATTTGTTGTGTGCCGGCGGATGTTTAAGGAAGCTCACCACTCGGGATGCCGTGAAGCTGTTCAGTGCCGATACGACATAATAATATTTAGTGTCGTCCGCGGTGATTTCTCGCAGTGCGAACTGCGCTTCCGTCTGGGCGAACCATGCTGAGAGAAACGGCGTTCGCGGTCATGGTCGTTCGGGGGAGTCTCTAGATACGTCTAGCAGAAAAACGTCGGGGTCACCAGGAAATTTTAGTGTAGTGAGGAGCGGTTTTGAGCTTAGTCGGAATTAGACTGGAGAAGCGGGCGGGGCCAACAGCCTCGTGAGCTCCACTGCGCTCACATGCTCTGATACAAAGCCTCATTAATAATTTAGCCATACTAAGCTGCTTATATTGTGGGCGTAAATAAATGTCCGTATAGCACAGAAAAGCTGGCGCACCACCAAATGTTGCGCCTGTCATCAGAAGCCCTAGTGATTATTGTGCATGCGCGATTTAATATCGCCCAGCCCTAGTATCTAACAATAAATGGGAGAGACTATTATCTGCAGTATTTCATTTTCAGTTGCAGAGAGTTTCTAAACATCGGTTTTCAAAATTCAAACCTAAGGAAAATTACTTTTTTAATATAAATCTATTTTTATGATTCTCATTAAAAAAAACTACATGAAAATCCACTTCTGTGACAACAGTTTTTTGGTAATGTGGCTGGGGAATGTATACTGTTGCCTTATTCAACACCATCACGGCTAAAAGTTTAAACGAAGGCTGTCCCTGTCATGCTATGCAAATATACATCAGCACTATTGGTCTTCAGGACCTGGCAGACTTTTGACTGTTATTTTACGGTAGATTTTTTTTACAGTGTATACAGACTAATATTAGTGCTTAGCCGAGGACGGATTTCACATACAGTGGTACATTGGAACATGAACTTAATTCATTCCAGAAAGCTGGTTGAGTTGCAATTTAGTTGAGGTCCAAGTTGAACTTCCCCATAAAAAATAATGTAAATGAATTTAATCCATTCTAGGCGCTCAAATGATTGCCTGTTTAAACTTATATACCTACCTAATGATAAAAAGCATTGAAAATCAATATAAAATTTATAAATGCACAGTCCACCTCCGCGACTCTTACCAGAGTCTTTGTGGCGGTCACTGTGGTGGGTTACTGTATGTGTCCTGTTAGTTCAATGGCTGTGTCCGGAAGTCTCACATTGAACCAAGTTTCCATTATAATCATCAGCTGTCCTAAATTTGTGTCCCCGATGATAAGATTAACATTAGCTCATCTATTTTGTTGGAAAGTGACCTGGCATTGGTGATGAAGAGACTGGGCAGTAGTGGTTTGTGGGCAGCTTTCCTTTGCCTCCCTCCTCTTCACCATCTTTGTCACCATTCACTTGGTTTTGTAATCACTCGTACCTCCTGGGAGAGCTGAAAGGGACTTATGATCAGAATTTTGCTTGTTCAGTTCTTTATTGTAGATAATGGTCAGTACCCTACTTTTAGAAAAACAACAGCATGCATTTGAAAAACAGCACCACCATCTTGCAATATGCATTTATTGGGAATAAAATGTGTATATTGTAGCAAGTTCTGTGTTAGTGAGTATGTGAGGTGTGACTGATAAATATATGAAGTTATAGGTCTGCGTGATGGTATAAATTGCTCTTTCTCTTGTCAAACAGACTCCTGCCAGCTGACACTGGACCCCAACACAGCAAACAGACAGCTGTCTCTGTCAGTAGGGAACAGGAAGGTAACATGTGGGGAAAAGGAGCAGCCATATCCTGATCATCCAGAGAGATTTGACCACTGGCCCCAAGTTCTGTGCAGAGAGAGTCTGACTGGTCACTGTTACTGGGAGGCTGAGTGGTGTGGAGGTGGAGCCCTAATTGGAGTGACTTATAAAGGCATCAGGAGGAATGTAGTGAGTGCTGACTGTGGGCTTGGCCACAACAATAAGTCATGGACCCTATTCTGCTCTCCTTGCAGTTACTCTGTCCAGCACAATAATAAACGAACTGACATACCCGTACAGCCCTCAGGTTCCCACAGAGTAGGAGTGTATCTGGACTGGAAGGCTGGTGCTCTGTCCTTCTACAGAGTCACCACTGGTGGACTGACCCTCCTGCACAGGTTCACCTACTCATTTACTGAACCCCTCTATCCAGGTTTTCGGATTTATCCAAACTCTTCAGTGTCCTTGTGCTTGCTGGGATAGCTTACTATAGGGCTGGGCGATATCATACCAGTATTATATCACGCAACCTGTAACCAGATCCCAGATTACAAAATCATTCTGGGCCAGATGTGGCCCACATCCACCATTTTCATCTGGCCGACTTACCACATGGAATGATGGCACTTGAGTGGACTACTTGAGTGGTCCACCAAATGTGATCCACCAGGGACACATTTGGGCCAGGGCAGGGAAATATTTCAGCCAGAAGAGGCCAAGCTATGTTTCAGAACTGTGCCTAATATGTGAATCTCACACAGATGTGAATCATATTAGGGCCATTTCACAGCCAGACCTCTCTGCAGTTAACCCTCTGGGGTCTAGGGGTAGGAAACACACTTTCACTGACTAGGGCATGGTCACACATTTCTTCAAATTTCATAAACTTAATTCATGGCAAATAAATTATTTCTTATATATTTGTTTTGCCATTACAATCATCTTTATTTTAATGTA